CCGCGTGCGACCACGTCATCCATAACCCCGCGGCCCCTCCGCCCAGACCACCTCTGCGCGCCGGTCGGAGAAGAGAGAGTGAAGAGAGAGTGCGGTGAGAGAAGAAAGAAGGAACGAGACGTCTATTTTTTATTTTTATATTTTATTTTCTGTTTTTATTTTTTGATTTCTAAAATGAATTAAGTTATTTAGTAGTTGAATTAATTATTTATTTGAAAAAAATTAGCCTATAAGACACCATCGTATAAGACAGCCTAAGGTTTTGCTAATTTGTCGTTGTGTGATTTATCTTTGTCTCTCATATTGCAGAATCATAGCATCAGTTCAATGCTCGAGAGAATGATTGGGGTTTCACTAATTTCATGCCTCTTGCTAACTTCTATGATCCTGTTAGAGGTTTTTGGGTGAATGATAGATGTATAATTGAGATTGATGTTGCTGCATGTAACACTCTTGATGACTGGTCACATTTCTCGAAAAAAGAAACTGATATTGTAAGACTGAAAAACCAACTACTTGTTACATGAATTCTCTTATTCAGACACTATCACAATCCTTGTCTTAGAAATATAACTTTTTAACAAAATTATTATAAAATCTTTTATAACAATTTTTTTTTAAAAATTCATATTGTATAATTAATGTTGGTTTTTTTCTCTGTTTATAATTGATAATTAGGTAAACTAGATTAGACTAGGAATAAATGTTTTTTATTTTTAATTTTTAATTTAAGGTAGAGGCGAGCTTATTTATAATCTCACTCACTCCAATCTTATTTATATTTTTTCGAGCTTTATTTGTCTGCCTCTCTGAGTGCTTGTCTCCCCCTCTCACTTCTGTTCAAAATTGTTTGCTTTTTTTCCTTTTCTTTTCTTTGTAATCTGAAATTTTTTTATTTCTCCACACCCAATGCCTCCTATGTCTTTTGTGTTTCTTTTCTTTTGTTTTGTCTCTTCAATTCAGAGACGATTGTGGAATGCTTTCGCTTCTTTGATTTTGATTTTGAGTTGAACTCTATTCTTTTTTCAATATCTCTGATTCTTGTTTTCTTATGTTTGGAGTGCAATGAGATTGGACTCCTTTTGCCGTCCTTATTGCTGTTTTTGATTCCTCTGTCTGTGTTCAGGTTCTTTCTTGAACTTGTGTGTTCCTGTTTTCAAGACTGGGTTTTTTTCTTAATGTATTCGATAGGGATATTGATTGCATTTAAGAAAAAAGATGATGTGGTCATATGTGACATAGGTTAATATCAACTCGATCACTAATGTTTTGTGTGCCCATTATTTCACTTTCAGGAGTGTTGTTTGGTGGTAAACTGGATTGACTTTAGAGCCCTCTCTTGTACAGAAAAGAAAAAAGGAAACAAAAGGTGGATAAATGATTTTTAGAGATAAAGTGAATGGAAAGAAGAATGATGGAAAGGATACAAATCCGCCGTATGAATAGTTCTTTTAATTCTCTTTGAATTGTGGATTTTTTTATTTTGTTAGCATAATGTGTATTGCCCAAGCAATGATCATGTTTCTGTAGTATTTCAGGGGTTGGGACTTGGGGTGTGATCTTGCATCTTGACAAGAAGTACAATAAGTGCAATCAAATATAAAATAACTTTTGATATCTCAAAGATTGGGTAAGTTTTTGTTATTGATTATTTTTGTTAATCAGTGTGTTTATCATAATTGTATAGAAAATGTGGTTATCTTAATTTTTGCTAAAATATTAATTTTTTAGAACAATAATATGGGTTAATATATTACTTATGTTTTTTTTTATATATATATTCATCTTAACTTGTATATTTTTTAATAAAAATAAAATAAAAATGATAAGTTAGTCCATAAAATGTACTAAGCATGAAGTATGTTGATTTCTAAAATGAATTAAGTTATTTAGTAGTTGAATTAATTATTTATTTGAAAAAAATTAGCCTATAAGACACCATCGTATAAGACAGCCTAAGGTTTTGCTAATTTGTCGTTGTGTGATTTATCTTTGTCTCTATGTTTGTCCTTATTTTTGTATGTGTGGAGATGCTCTAAGAACATGAAGCTCTAGTAAACAAAAACGAAAGCTGTGAATGGGTATTGAGATACGGGTATAACAAGGGGAGGGTATGGTATAAAAGAATATGAAGCTCTAGTTTAAACCCTGGTAACCCTCCCCCTGTTATATCCATTGACTTCACTTAGGTATGGGTATATCAAGAAGAGGGTATAAACTATAAAAGAATATTCTCTGTTAGGGCATGAGATCTGTCTTTAAATACCAATTAAAATAAATAAAAGAAGAAAAAAATTGATAAAAATTTTAGTAAAGTAATGAATCAACTTCATTCATAGCTCCTGGCTATAATCTTGTAAAACAAATATACAAAATGAACACAAGAAAATCCAAATATGAAGATAGAGTAACTAAAGATTACACATGAGAACATGCCAGAGTATAGGTGAATTTTGTAAGAGTAAAAATGTAAGGAAGATAAAGGATAACTAAATGTAAATCTAAAAACATCTCCCAAATTATTTCCTCCGTGAGAACCCCTTTAAATTTAAATTGTACCAAACACACAGTAACACATCAGACATGTGCACAAGTGTTGAAACTTGAAACAAGGCCAGGTTTAACTTAGCTGAGTATTTGGAAAGAATATAGGAGATGAACTTAGTTAAAGTATAGCAGGAACAGGAAATAATAACAAAGGATGAATAAGTCTAGATGTCATCAGCTGTTGTTTCATATGCATTACTACTTGAATGCAAGAACATATTATACGCTTTAAATAATAGATAGTTTGAAACTTTGAATAGAAACATTAAAACATGTATTGGACAAAAAATGTGACCTTTACACTCACAGCTTCATAGTTCAGTACAGACGAAAGCAAGGAACAAAAAGCATTATTTATATCAATTAGTTACACTAAAATATTATAACTAGACACAGTATACAATCATACCTAATTGAAGAAAGTACAATTAAAAATGCATTCAACAGTTATGTGCACTTTTCGCCACTTCTTGTAACAGAAATGTTCCTGGACTCCTCAGCACAACACACAAAATGGCAGAGATACATCATCCGTCAACAATGAATTGATCCTCTTGATTATCTCCCTCAACCCTAGTGTCCCCGTGAACAATACCATTTACGTGATGCAAATTTTGCATCATTTGTGAAAGATAATGGTTGCTAGCACTAGTATGATCAGATAGGCCAGCGGGTTGGGCAGGCCACTGCGAGAAAATACCAAGCAATTGGCTAGTAAGATTCTGTTGCTCATGAAGAAAACGAGTCTGCATCTGGCCCATCTCTGCTCGGTGCTGGCTTAGCATCTCGTCAACTCTCTTCTTCCATTCTAACCTCCTGCAATTCATCCTCTCCTCCCATTCCCTCTCATGCATCAGCTCTTCCTCTCTCTTTTTCCTTTCCATCTCTTCGTTTTCCTTCTCCATAGCTTCCCACTCGGCCATCCTCTGCCTCCTCAGCTTCTCCCTCTCCTTCTCCCGCTCCTCCCTCTCCTTCTCCCTCTCCTCCAGTTTCTTCTCCCACTGCTTATCAAGCTCCACCCGCAAATTCTCCCTCCTCTGCCTCTCACGCTCCCTCTCCACCTCTCGCTGCTCAAATCGCGCCTCCATTTCCCTCAACTGCCCGAGCTGGTTGGCGAGAATCCTCCACGCCTTCTTCTCCATCCCCTTCACCACCTTCCTCTTCTTCTTCAAACTCAACCCTGTCACCTCCCCTTCCTCCTCAAACACAAAACCGTTCTCCGCCGCATCCTCCCTCACCCGACCACCCCCATTGTAATTCACCTCCCCTTCCTCAGCCTCATGCTCATACTCAAACCCCAACCCCATCACCTCATTGTCAACCCCATCCATAGCAGCCCCAAAATCCCCATCTCCGGAATGACCCATCTGCCCAAACTCAACCATATCCATCCCCCCGCCACCGGCAAGAAACCCATCCCCATGATCCCCATCGCGATCTCCATCCACATCACCATCCCCATCCCCAATCCCCATCAACTCATTACCACCATGACCACCCACAACAAGCGCAACATCCCCAAACACATCCTTATACCTAAGAAAGTTAGACCAATGAGTAAGTCCCTCCACCCAATCAAACTCACTCCCATCACAATCCCCTCCTCCGGAACCCGAAAACTCAGGCCTCTTGATCTTCTGCTTCACCAGCAGATACTGGTGGCGCATATTCTGCACCTTGGTGGAAACGTCCTTCCAACTCCACTGCCAAGGGAACGCCACGGGGTCGCGCACGTGGTGCACGGAATTCACGTGACACGCGATCGGCTTGAACTTCTTCTCACGAGTGCGCATCTTCGCGAGCGAACCGTCCGCCACCATCTCGCCGTACTTGTCGATTAGGGTTTTCTCCTCCGCCTCGGTCCATTTCTTCCGTCGAGGAGGAATCATCGGGAACCAAACCCTAAGCTATCGTTTCCTCCTTCCTCCTCCTCCTCCTCCTTCGCTTCCTCCGCGAGCACCAAAACCTTCTCCGTTAGCGATTCCGATTGCATCGAGAACGCCACGATCGCGCGAGGCTTTGTTTCGCTTTTTCAATCGGCGATTTTAACCTAGCGATTGGTTAATCGAATGACTCTTTCCGAAAATGAAAAGAGAAATAGAAAAGGAGAAGAATGAAGTGGCTTACCTTTTCGGAATTCAGAGAGTGAGAGCGGCGTGATTTTCCCGGAAACTTCAATTTTCTGGAGAAAATATCCAAATAATAATTCACTGCGGAATCAAGTGACCAGAAGCTATATTCCAAAGTTCCTGAGACTGAAAATTTTCCGGCCAATTTTATGTTCCAGAATAATCTTATTTTTTTTTTCAGATGTTTTTTTTTGTTTATTTATGGTAATTATTTAATAAATAAACATTTTGAAACAAATCAGTGGGCATGCCGGAGTGGTTATCGGGCATGACTAGAAATCATGTGGGCTCTGCCCGCGCAGGTTCGAATCCTGCTGCTCACGTTTTTTCTCTATTTTTTACCTTAGTGGATATTCTGGCTAGGTTCAACATAGTATCATTTAGTTTGCACTTTGGCTATCTCTTTCATTTGTTATTTTTGTTAATGGAAATATGATAGTAATACATTTTATATTTTTGATTTGTGTAAAATTTGGATTGTTTGATAAATATTGCAGGAAAAAACGAAGTGTAATCTTAGCTCAAGAACTTGACAAATTATAGTGTCTTTTAGATTAGTATTTGGGAACTTCTTTTTGTAAAATTATTTTTTTTTTAGATAAACTTGAGTTTAAAGTAAAGTGATTTGTACTTGGATTTTTTAATCTCATAACCAAGTGCGTAAGAAATGTATATATCTATACATCATATAAATAAAATATATCTTTTTAATATATACACTTTTTAAACTATTTTATTTTTATAATTATTTTCAAATTACTATTTCTCTCGTTATCTTTTTATCTATTTATTTAATTTATATTCTCTCTTCTCATCTTTTCTATAAATTTTAGTCCTAAAACTTCTCATTTTCAAATTAATCACTCATTTCATTATATACTCTAATTTATTATAAAGTTCTTAATTCAACAAGGTCAATAATTTCTAGTATGTTGCCTAATCTCGATATATTATGTTCTATAAATATTACAAGATGATTCGCAGTCCTTAATTGTTAATTAAGGCTGATTTCAAAAATTATGATACAATTATTTAAAAAAGATAATAATTATTGATATTATTTATAATATTTAGCCCATATAATAAAAAATAAAATAATGAAAGATTTCCTGTTTAACATTCCCTCAAATTGATGCGACTAGTCAAGAAGCATCAATTTGCTAAATAGAAATTGGTGAAAAGATCAAGAAACAGCTTTAATAAAAATATCAGCGAGCTGAAGTTGCAAAATGACATGAGGAAGAGCGATGATATGGTCATCAAGAGCACGAATGGAGTCACAGTCCACCTTAATATGTTTGGTACATTCATGAAATACTTGATTTGTAACAATTTAAATGCACTAGTGTTGTTAGCATAGAGGGACATTGTAGTGGTTTTAGGAATTCCAAGTTCTACCAACAAATCACAAAGCCAAATAATCTCATAACAAATTGTAGAGATAGCTCAATACTCGGTGAATGACTTGGAAACTCATACTTGCATTTTACTCTTCCAAGAAATTAGAGTAGGACCAAGGAACATACACCACCTAAAGATAGACCTTCGAATATTGGGACAACCTACCCAATCCGCATAACTATAAGCAAGCAAAGTAAGAGATGTGTTACCTGGAAAAAATAATCCTCATTAAAAAGTTTAACATGTTGCCTGATCTCGATATATTCTATTCTATAACTATTACAAGATGATTCACAAACCTTAATTGCTAATTAAGGCTGATTCCCAAGTTTATTAGATAATTATTTGGAAAGAATAATAGTTGTTGATATTATTTCTAATATTCAGCCCATATAATAGTAAACAAAATAATGAAAGATTCTTTGTTTAACAAATGAAAATGTAATATTTAAAACATGTTTTTAAGAACAAAAATAATTTTACTCTTAGACAACTAAACATAATTTATTTTGGTATGAAAATGTATTTTTCTTATGAGTGTAGGCTTGGGACCTTAGATTATAAATCCAAGCATACTATTAGCAATTACTAGAGGCTTGTGTAGTGGTCCTCGGTTAATAAATGTTATTGTTAAATAAAATAATGTAAAATAATATGTTCTACAATTCTTTAATTGTAGCTAGATTTTGGATAAAAGACTAATGAAAACTTGTTATTATACTCTTTATATGTGAAATTTAACAGATGTGAGTGTTCTTACGAAATTACATTGGTGTGATTTCGAACATGATATATTTGTTATCAATGGTTTGATCAAAACTAAACCTCTCCTATTTGATTGGCACAGATAACGAAAGATTCACGTCATTCAATCAAGTGATTAGGATTTGAATTCTAACTCTTACAAATATAAAAAATTAAATTAAAAGGGGATGCTAACCTATTCGATGTCTGTCGAACTCCAAAGAAGATTGTCTTTCATATTCAATAGAGAATCCTCCTTGCTAATGAAAAAAAGAAAAAAAACTAAAGCTCACCTCAACCTCAAGTTTATCACTTCTATGGCACTCATCCAACCATATGTAACACTCCTTGCCTAATGCCTATGTCTAAGTACCAAGCTTCATAGTCTCAACCACCACAATATGGCACCACATTTTAACTTTGTAGGAAGAATACTCTGACCACATGAAAAGATTCTCACCTGTTGCCAACCTTGTCACGAATATGAGAGCATCATGGTCATTCTTGTTGTCAATAATAAGCGGACAATTCAGCAACTTAATGTTAAGAATGCCTTTCTAAATGGATTTATTGAAGAAGAGGTCTATATGGCTTAGGCACTGGACTTTGAGACAGCTAACAAATCCTTCGTATGCAAGCTACAAAAGTCATTAGATGGCCTGAAACAGTCCCCTAGGGTGTGGTTTGAAAGGTTTGCTTCTAACTTAACTAGGACTAACTCAAATCATGCAAGTTTGATCCATTTTTTTATACTAACCACTTCACAACACTGCATCCACAATCTAGAGTATGTTAATGATATTTAAATTACTGGAAATTAGCCTGATCTTATTCAACAGCTGATAACCAAACAAAACTCCACTTTTGCACTCAAAACACTTGGTAACTTGGACTACTTCTTGGGTATGGGAGTCATGTATCTTAAAAATGATTCCTTTATCTCAAGGAAAATATTTTAGAGACCTTTTGGCCAAAGCTAATTCGTTCTCAGCTAAAGGTATATTCACATCTATGCCTGGAGGCTGCAAATGCTCCAAATTTGGAGTTGATTTTCTCCAAAACGCCCAACTCTATAGATCCATTGTTGTCGCAGTACAGTAAGCTACCATCAACAGACCTGAAATTAGCTATAGTGTGAACAAAACGTGACAGGTTGTCCCTCAAATACTAGAAGATCAGTGGAAAGTGGTCAAACATATTCTACGGTATGTTCAGTGGACCCTTCACCATGGGCTATTATTGCTACTTACTTTAAGTCCCACTCAACTGATCACCTGTGGATTTTGTGATGTTGTGATTCAGACCTAGATGATCATCGTTCCACATATCTGGTTCCTACATTTATTTTGGCCTGAACGTGGTTTCTTGGTGGTCAAAGAAATAGCCTCTTGTTGCTCACTCAAATGTAGAGGGCTTAATATTGAAGTTTGGCCAATACCACAGTACAAAATTTTGTGGATACAGTCCCTTCGGCAAGAACATCAGCTCTGTTGTTTACCGCATCAATCTTTGCAGTGTCCTTGGCTCATAATCATGTCCTAGTGTCCTTCACTTTCGAGCTATGCATATGGAGTTGAATCTCCTTTGTCATCGAGGGTGCTCAAGAGAGGTCCGCTTATGTGTTATATACTAGCCCATGATCACATTGTAGACATTCTTACCAATGCTTTGGGAAGTACTCAATTTTGTGAATTGCACACCAAACTTGATTGATGCCTTTTCTTTAGCTCAACCACCTTGAGTTTGAGAGGAAAATACTAAAGAACTTTCTAGTGTCTTGAGAATTTCCAACTACATATGCTAGCTGCTACAATTAGTGATCTGACTACTGTCAATTTCTGAGTTATGTCAGATCAAATTCAATTAGTATATGATCTTGCTAAAAACATGGATAATGGTATTAGAGCATAATGAGATTGGGCAACAAATTCTCTCCTTCAGTAAAATTAACTTTCTTATTTTCTCTGTTTGTATTTCACTCTTGAATCATACATATTACATTTAGCCTATAGCTAGAAAATAAATGTTTAAAAAAAATTGACTTTATCCGTTTCTAAAGATTTAGTATACATATACACTAAGCCAAATGAATATTTCAAATTTTCCTTTACTGATGAATCGGGATAACATTTAAGTATATGAATACCATAATAGAACCTTCAAATGGACTCCAAGGATCATGATCTCATATTGATGAAGACTAACTTTAGCCTAATAGCTATACACAATTTCACAAAAAAAAAATCAGCTCATAAGGGAAAATCAAAAGAAAAAGATTACAAGAACCAAAAATGTGGTATTATTCTCCAATATTGTCTTAACAGCTGCTGCATGTAATATTTCGCATTAACTTCATACTTTCCGTTTTTGTTTTCTGACTTACAAGATTGTTAGCACCAGGCAATACCACTCATTCTCTGACCATCTTTTCCTTGAAATACCATAGCTTAATCTTCATTGGATTCTGAAAACTGTCTGTTTACCTTGGGAACCTAGGTGGAAGGCCATTGTAGTCCAGACTTGAGTTTGAAAAAAAAAAAATGAGCCATGCCTATGAAGTCCCTAAGTTATTATTATTAGCATGGTCCGGAGTTATAAAAACTGGGGGCTCTATGGGTTTAGTTCCCATATCTTTGGTTTTGTGAAGAAGAAAGGTCCCAGATAAAATTGTGACAAAGCCACAAATCTCAGTAGCAATTTGTGATGCATCTTGTGTGTCCCAATCCTGTAATATATAAACAAAGCATGAAAGCATATAATGACTTGCAATCCATTTGTGAATTCTCAACGAAGATATTATTTGAGTTATGACTAATAATAATGCAGATTACTCTAACAGGACAATATAGTAATTCAGATAATTGACCAATCGTAAATGTTAATCATGCGTTCATTGCGTTGTAACCTTGCCAGAATCTCATTGCCCATTTTTCCATTCGTATCATTAGTCCTCTAGAATGTACTGTAATGATTTTTCTAGGGATCCCATTGCCCATTGTAAATTTGTAACGACCATACTAAAGCTTCGTTTAGATAATCACTAACATATCCTTATAAATATTAAATCTATTTTACCTTAAAGGAATTATTTGCCGTTATATCTTTTCTTCAACGTCCTTTGTAAAAGAACAATTTTTCTCATATTGGAATGTATAGTCTTGGTCTTTTAAATGAAATTAAAAATCCTATTCTAAAAACGATTGTGATCGCATAATACCTGATCAATCCAAAGTCTATAAATGTTACCGCTCTAATTATAGAAACGATCAAGAAGTTATAAACAAATCATGACAAAAAAATGTTCTTTCCCTTCAAATTTACTCTGATTTCGGTAGTTTTATTTTTTTCATAGTCTTAACTATAACTAAAAGCAATAAGGAGAAAACAAGAATCTTATATCTGAATTGGGTTCTGTACTTATCATGCCTATATATCCTTTAGACATTTTCAAATGAAATATAGTTCTTCCAAACTTTATGAATTTGGAAGTGATTCTTGTGACTATTGAATACACTATGACATATAAGTACATACTTCGAATTAAATGTCATATTGCTTGTTTCTTAAAAAATAAAATAGCTCCTTGAAACAATAAAATAGAACAATAACAAACAAAATAAACTTTATATACAAGAGGACAAACCGCGCATGCTTTTAAAACAAAATATGAAATTACACAAAGAGGACATTTTAAGATATATGTTCTTCAAACAACTACTAGAAAAGAATCAATCATACCATTCGCAACCAACACTTTTATTCAACCAACTACTAAAAAAGATCATTGGCTCAACAATGATTCGCCAAAATCATATGATATATATTAAAATTCAGTGTGCCTGATTTGATAGATCTTAGGAGTCCAAGTTCTTCAAAAACCTTTATTCAACTTGATATTATTATGCAAGTTAAATTCTAATATGATTTTGGTAAAATACTATAAGTTATTATGTTTCTTATAATTTAATATTTCCCATTCAGTTTTACTTTTCCATGCACAAGAAGAAAAGGGGTAGTTTCTGTTTTATTTCCATAAACTACCTTATGTCTAATATGAAGAGTTGATAAGATAGGTGATAGCCAGTAGTTAAAAGTAGAGGAAAACTGATAAAAATTCCAAGTGAAAATTTAGATCCTAAATAACCTTTTCAAAGAATTGGTTTTTTTGAGAAAGCAGTGGTATCCTTTGTTTCATGGGAGCTGAATCCACCCAATGGAAATAGGCTTTTATTGTTGTTATTGTTTTAAATTACTATATGATTGCATAATTTAGTATCATCCCCAAGTACATGTTAAACAAAAATGAAAAATATAACATGTATATATATATAACCATAGAAGTCAATTAGTTACCTTAAACATGATTATGCTGGCAAATATGGTGAATGATGTGAACATGACATAGTAAACTGGTGATACAACTGCAGTGTTAAAGGTGTCCAAAGCCTGAAACATGTTTCCAAAATCCAAAATAAATAAATGGAATTACTATATAATAGATAAGCTTTTTCAAGGATTTAAGCAGATGGATTTTAATTGTTAAAGAAAGTCTACAGAGGATGCTAAATTGAAATTCAATTGCAAGTCGGTTGGGAATCCCTAACGTAAAAAATATAGCATGCAATTTCTAAAATATTGCATCTTAAAGTTTATTCATCTTTTACTGAAAATAAAAGGAAATTAAATAGTTCAATGCCAATTAAGAAGAGCAATACAAAAACTTTTATTTATAAATTTTCCAAGTGCTACATGCTAGATTATAAATGCAAACATGGTCATTTGGATAATGATATAGGCCCCAAAGAATGCAAAAGCATAATTAAGTTTCTTTGAGCATTAAAAATTACCACCTAATCACTAAGACTCAAAGGCTAAAGGTCATAGAAAAATCAAAATAGTGTTCTCATCATTAACACTCCAATAAAAAGTTTTAAAAAAAATATTTTTAACTTTGGCATAATTATTCTATGTTGTACTTTGGAAGACATCACAATCATAGCCAACAATAAATACACATATATACACATGTTTACCTTGTTCAAGTAGTTAATCTGCAAAAGACAACATCCTATCACAACAAGCGTAAAGAACCAGGTTTGGAAATAAATGAATTGGTTTTGGCCTTCCATTGTTAGCTTTATAGCTATTGACACTGCTTTCACACACATAACCTATGCAACAAGGAACAACATTAAGCTTGTGGAAGAAGGTTTATTATTGTTAACCATGATACATATGAGCACTGAAGACATAATTGATACCGTAATTGAGCCTGTGAGAGAACATATTCCAACATATACAACCAGATGAGTTTGTCCACATCGAGGAACATAATAGAAAATAAGGACGGAAACCAGAACCACAACTATAATGGTGTAGATTACAAAGCCTGTTGATGAAGAAAATAACTGAATGTCAGCTTAATTAAGTAATTAACTGTAAATGAATGCCTTGAATCCGTTAAGACCTTGTATCCTTCTACTTTGGTTTTCTAGGAGATTCAATTGTAAAATAATGTTGAAACCAAGAAATCAAGGATTAAAAAATACCTGGTTCTGTAGCAAGGAACCACACTTCCTTAACGGAGTGAATAACTCTTTCATGGGGAGCATGCAAAACAATAGTTGTAGATCCCACCACACAGAGAGCACATCCAAGCACTCCAAACATGTGCAATCTCTCTTTTAAGATAAAGTGAGCTAGTACTGAACTGCATCATGATATCAGCTTGTAATTATTTTAAATACAGGCAGTATCCAAATTAAATTTGATAGATGCGCATCCACGTTTTTGTCAAAAGAAGCATAAACATCCTAATAATTAATGTTACGAACAGTACCATGTTCCTTACCTGAAAATGATACTTAAAGCTCCTAAAGGAGTTACAAGTAGCGCTGGTGCAAATGCATAAGCTGCAAAATTGGCTATTTCCCCAACAATCACTAAAAAAACAAAGTAACCATACATATAGAATTAGTTGATGAAATTTCCATAAGATCAGAGAGAACATTAGCAAAAAGTTGTTTATAATTATAGAGTACCAACAGTTATAATGAAAATTTTGCTCTATGAAATATAGATATAAGGCATACAGCACAATATTGATCCTTGCGAAGGCATTTATATTGTGATTATCACTTTAACAATAAAGGTGGCAAGGCATTACCAAGACACTCAAATCTTTGTAACTTGTCTGAAACCCTAACAAGCGGTCTAGAGAAAGCCCCAAAACGGGGTCTTTTAAAGTCACTTAAAAGAATCAAAGGCATACATCTAGAACAAAAAGAAACATATCATGAAGTAATACAATAAACACACACACAGAGTCAAAAGATGGATTAGGTCAAACATGCAATAAAATTGATCACCGGAAATCCCACATAAATAAAAAAGGGTAGCTTGTATATTACAATTTGTCAAAAGTGTTTTGCAGGTAAAAATAGAGCACCAAAATAATTCAAAAAAAAACCAAAAATCACTTACTAGAGATCATTCCAAACCACCAACAAGGTTCATATAGATACGCATGCCCTCCCGAGGCTGTCAAATCAAAACAAAACAAACATAATGATTAAAAAAATGATATTAATTCAACACTTAGCATACCCAAAAAGACAACATATGAGAGAGGAAACATGAACCTGCTCTTTTCCCTGTAGTCCCAGCCTTTTTCAGGCCCACTTTTTTAATTATAAAACTAGAGCCAATGAAAATGCTGGAAGAAACAGCCAGAATAAACCCAGTTACGTTGTCAGAAGACGCCCCCATTTGTCACGATCATACAAATGAAACCCCAAAAAAAAGTATCTTCTGATCCAACGAACGAAGCAAAGGCAGGGCCAAGACGTCCAATTCAATCCCTTGACCCTACAAACCATTGCCGATTCGAAAATTAATGAAACAAATTGCACAACACGAAACACATGCATACATATATATGTTCGAATGGCATGTACGATAATGTTGTGTACCTTGTTGGCACCCTACATACAACTTTTTGGCTAGCAAATCATGACTCGTTGGTGAAATTGTCGCTCGAGCATGAAAATTGAAGCCTTAATTGTTGATGTCGAAGGTGTGGGTGGAAGAGATGGTGGAATCGGAATCAAATGGAGACGCGAGATGCTAACGTGTATGAATTTCTTCGGTAACAATTTCCCCAAATTAAGATTCTCCGAAACTCGCGTTTCCCGACACCTTTTGTAGTATTACAATTTTGTGCTGAGTTGTGTCGTGGGTGTGCCTCGTTTAATTGTGATTTGTGACTTGTGAGATTCATTCATGATACTAACTTAATTTTATAAGGACTTTCACTTAAATAATAATAATTAATAGTCCTATCTTTTAATTAATCATCATTAATATTTAACATACTTAATGCACTTTTTTTTTTACAGCTGGACGAATTTAATATGTGTATAATGCACATGTGACTATTTTATATAACTAAAATTTATAGTGAATAAATATTTTTATTATATAAATTAGAGGAAAATTTAAATGATATTAGTGTACTTTTTGTTAAATATTACACTGTTCAATAATTTTATATTAAATGTGAGTTTTATAAATTCAACTGTTAGATTGAAAGTCTTTTACTATTAAGTTATATGTGTAAAATTTTATATTAGTTCAAGATGATTTCTTGACGTAATATATATATTTTAAAATATAATAAAATATGAATTATAAAAGAAAGTATTAAATCATCTTAGATTAATATAAAATTTTATATATATGATCTACGAGTAAACAACTTTCAATTTAACAATTAAATTTATAAAATTTATATTTAATATAAAGTTAGTGTCGTTTGATCATTCTTCTATAAATTATATTATAATTAAAAATTCATAAATAATTTTTTTAAAATATATAAATTATATTATAGATGTATGTTAGGGTAAACATATTATATTTTGATATAATATTATTTTAATTATTAATCAAATATTAAAATTGATTTTAAAAAGTTGACACAAGTTAAAAAGAGATAAAATATTAAAAACAAATCTTGAGAATACTCTCGTGAAAAAGAAAATCTAAAAATAATTTTGTTAAATTAATAACACTTGAAAAGGTTATCGTTCAATATAGTACCTATCAATTTATACTATATGAAGGTTAAATGGTATGCTTTTTTTAAACAAATTTTTATGTTTCTAATACATCAATACTTAAAAAAATATCTTTGGTCAAAACAAAATATCTTGTTTTAAATAAAAAAATTGTAATAATGAGTAACTTTTTGAAAAGCTAAACAATCTAACTTGAGCGGAGCTTTTATGGGACTTCTTTTTATAAGAGGATTCAGTCGAATCCAGCCACAACTTTATACGGTGTCGTTATATTTTCTTTTTTTTTTTGGTGCACACGTTATATTTTCTTTGCTTTGCCTTTTTGCTATCCTGCAAAGACCAGCAATTCTTGTTTTGATTTTTTTTATTTCTTACTTTTATAAATAATTATAATATGTTGTATTATTTTTAATCCAAAAGACCCATATGGCAAATAAAAATATTTATTTATATAAATACTCGATAAGAATTCAACAATAAGATAATATTTTTGTAATTATTTATAGAAACAGCTAAAAAATAAAATGAGAAAATGTTTTGCAAAATATTGTTATTATATACAAGTAGAAAAGAAGACACATTATCTCTCTACTAAAAGTGAAAACAAAAAATAGTTATTCACGATACACTTTGTAATAGACCATTATACCCTGTTGATTAAAAAAATATTATATCCTTTCTAAATAACTATTTACAACTAGTCATTAGAGAATAGTTATTCGTATTTCTTTTATAATAGTCACTAATGAAGTTAAAACACTTTTTATCTCTATATTTTATTTAATAAAAATATTAAATAATTATTGATGTTTATTGAATCAATCGGCATTACACCTAATTTTCAAATCTTAAGGTTTTGAATTCAAGTTTTGATTTTGTAAAAGTAATTAATTTTTAATATTGTTTTTTTATTATTTAAAAATTTGAAGGTAAAATTGTCTAAAAAATATGTATATCAATCAAACTATCGTCTTTATATATGTTATAATATAAGATAGATCCATTGATATAAAATTCACTCAATAATTTATAGTCTATATCAAATTTAACAATTTAACTGTAAAGTTAAAAGTTCTTAATATATAAATTAAATATGCAGTTAAAAAATTATTTAATATTTTATTTCATTAGTTCAAATTAATGGATAATCATAAAAAAAATTATATGTTGATTTTAATTTATATAGTGAAGTATCAAATAATTTTTAATTTTTTTTTAAATTTGCAAACTTAATCTATATATTAAGAACTTTTAATTTAACGATTAGATTGTTAAAATTCGAAGTAGAACATGAGTTATTAAGTAAAATGAGATTAAATAGATTTTCTTAGGGAATAAATAGATTCATTATCATATATATGTGTGTGTACATATATATATATATATATATATATATGTGTGTGTGTGTGTGTGTGTGTGTATACACCTTTTAATGCACAAAATAACTAGTTTTAAATAAAACTAAAACTTAAAAAATAAATCTATCATATAAGATGCATCTCATATGTGACATTCTAACTGGGAAAACGTTTCCTATAAAGGTTTCTGTATTGAACTTTCCCTTTCCCATGTTATTACATTTTGGTGGAGAATTTTCATCATATTATCACATTTGATAAGTTCAATACAATCTCAAATGAACATGATAAATTCAGCAAAATTATGATCTAGCAATGATCGCATATTTTGTCACAGACGTAATACCTTTGTGATATCCCATAAATGAAAGTTAATAATACATGCAAAAATCATTTGTCCTTAAAACCCACAATAGAAAGTACTAGGTGAAAATCTCTTCCTAATATCATCACTCCCCCCCCCCCAAATGGAGCATCACTATTTAGAATATCATTTAGTGAGCTGTCTAATGCTTCTAAAGCATGTTTATTTGTCATGAGAGCTTCATCCCAAATGATTGTAGTTGATTCTCTAATTAGTTTCGCAATATCAAATTGCTTACTTATTAAGCAAAATGACTCTGCTTCTACATTGATAGGTATCTTAAATTTATAATGTGTAACTTTATCACCAGGTAATAATGTTGTAGCAATACCAGATGAGACATTAACTATGCCAAATTTACCTTTACTTCTTAAATTTGCAATTAGAGTACAATAAAATGAATGTTTTACCTATTCCTCTTGCTCCATCCACACAAAAAAAAAAAAAAAAAAACTTGACTTTGTTTACAACCAATAACATTCACAATGGTATTGAAACCAATAATTTTGGTCATTATTTAGCTTGTGAACATATTCCACATTTTCCTTGGATATTTGTATTGTTAGCTCCTATTATATAACCTTTGACACAAAAGTATTTTCAATTGCTTCAAATGTTAATGCTAGCAAATCAAAATTTGTTATTTGTTTACCATGCCCAAAAAAAAGGTTATTTAAATCCCTCAATAGCATATTGGTTATGTTTGTGCCCGTGGAGGTGCTTGTTGAATGATAATCTTTTACCATATAAGTGTAAAACTCATAACAAAGGCCCCTAAAATCAGTTGGTTCACAAAAAATCAAAATAGTTGCAAATAACCTTCTTAAGACATAAGACATTTGTAGAACATTGAATATGTTGTAAAAATTAATAAGTAATCATGACTAGAGACCAACTACAACAAACTAACATTGAGAAGAAAAATGAGAATTATGCACTATAGAACTTTACTTCATTATTATTATTTACATGTAAGTTTACATCAAGGTAAGAAAGAAGATGACAATAATGACCTAAATCAATACTCAAAGACCTATAAAAAAAAACCAGTTAAGTCATGACAAGGTGATAACACATAACATTGGATCATATGACCAACAAAAATTCACACTCACTTAACATGCTCACATTTTGTAGTGAATTAAAAATAAGATTAGAAAAAAAATCACATAAATTTCTATAAAGAAAAAAAAGCTAAAATACCCCCAACTTAAAACATATTAAAAACTATCAATAAATCTCTAAATAAATATAAAAAAATCAATCTCAAGAAAATAAATAGCATTTTTTTACTACCTTCGACTTTTATTACAAGATATGAAAAACTAATTCATCAAGACTAAGAAAAGTTAATTTATTTATTTATATTAAAATCAATAAATATGTCTTAACTTAATTTTTTTTCCTAAAAGTACCCCTAAATTATTGAGACACTTGATATATGCTTTAAAAGTTTTTGCATTCCAAGAAAAATAAATGAACTACTATTTATATTTTTAGAGACATAAATTAAATGAATATAATAATAATATTTTTTGTAGAGAAAAAATTAATATTAAAGACATAACAAATTAAGTATTGCAAAGGAAATCAAATTAATTTGAAAAATTGGGTCCTATTATAAGAATAAGTATTTAACAATCTAAACTCCAAAGATGAGAACAAGAGTGTGTTTGGATGAAAATTTCAAATGGAGTAATTTACTTTTTTTTTAAGAATTTCAAATTCAATTGAGTGAAATGCTTTATTTGAATGAAAATTTTATAGATAATTTGAAATTCAAACATCTGTGAAATTTATTAAAATAGTATAATTCAAATTTCCTCAAAAAATTTTTTTTTTTCATTTTTTTCTTATCTCACTCATATATCTTATTTATTTCTATCTCTCACTTCCATTTCTTTTACTCTATTTTCTTTATTCCTCTTATATTTTATGTTTTTTTTTTCTCTCTCTTTCTTTTTTCATTTCTTAATTAGATTTTCTCTCTCCCCCTTTCTTTCATTTTTGCAACTCCCTATTTCTTTCCTTTCCCCTATCTCTCTTCTCTCTCTCCTATATCTCTTTTCTCTTAATTTCCCTATTGTTCTATTTTGTTTTTTCTTCTACCTCCTCGTCTCTCTTTCAAAATTGATATAAAAATATCAATGATTTTTTAATTATTGAACATTTAATTTTTTAAATTATTAATATTATTTTTTAAAATTATTTAAAATGATTAATATTTATTTTTATAAAATTAATCCTAAAATATTATATATATATATATATAATAAATTTTACCATGACAAAAATCAAATCACTATATCCAAACTAAAAATTTAAAATTTAAGAATTTTTTTTTTGTAAAGATAGGAAAGATTAAAAAGATGGTCATAATGAGGATTGAACCTAGGTCCTCATACTTCTAACTACCCCAACTCCTCCTCACCTAACCACTAGGCTAACCCTAGTGATTTTAGAAATTTAAATCAATTAATCCAAACAAAATAATTACAAAATGAAGAAAATTAAAATTAAATTAATTTAAATTTCTTGATTCGATATACATATTTTCTAAATGATTTCATCTTTAAAATTTTAAATAAAAACTAATATTAAAAATTTTGAAATCTTAAGATTTGAAAAGTAAGTGTAAAACTAATTAATTTAATAAACATTGGTAATTTTCAAACACTTTTATCAAACAAAATATAGAGAAACAAAGTGTTTGAACCCGGTTAATATCTATAATTATAATAAATATTTTTTGTATATATTTTACTTTTAATTTTATCTTTAAATTATTCTTTCATCTATAAATATTATAAAGAGGATACCAAGGCATGTAATCGCTTTTAGTCTCAACTTTTTAGTGGATTATTATACCTCTCAAATATAAAAAAAATATTTTATGAATAATTATATATAACCTTCTTATAATAGTCGTGCATGACATTGGAGAAATAAAAATATAAAAAATTATAAGATTTGTTTAATAATAGAATAAGTATACTATATCTCATAAGTTTAGAGGAGTTGAAACACTTCATATCTCTAATAGTTATACATAAATAGAATATTAGAAAATTACGTATAATTATTTAAAAAATTTATAAGATTCTTTTTTTTTTTATATTCAAGAGATATAATGACCTATTAAATAGTAAAAATTAAAAGAAATTATATATCAATTTTCTTTATAATAGGTATAAACTAGTAAATTACAAATCACTCATATTTTTTAAATAATTCTCTCATTCTTTTATTTTTCTTATTTTAATTTTTTCAAAGGTAAGAAGTACACTTTTAAATAACTATATTTTTTTTAATAAGAAAGAGACGAATTATTTTTTTCTTTTACTAGTATATATATCCCGTCTCATTCTGCCACCATGACGACTTGAGAGAAACCGAAACCAATCTTAGCCGTCACAACGAACACGTTCCCCCTTTTTTCTAATTTTTCCAATTCCCAATCTACCCTCCATCTTCTCTCCATCCTTTCCACTCCTTTTCTTTCTCTCTCTCCACTCTCCCAAATCCAACAAATTATTATTCTTCTTGAATAGGGTTTCCTTTCCTCACTCGCCTCTATTTGCCAATTAACAGTTTTATCCAAAATCCCCCTTCGCCCAAATTAGCTATTTATTAGCGATTGGTGACACAATCTCTGAAGGTAGGGTTCATGGGTGATCGGGGTTCCGGCGTCGCGAAGCCCATTTGGATGAAGCAAGCGGAGGAGGCCAAGCTCAAGAGCGAGGCGGAGAAGGCCGCGGCGGCCAAGGCGGCGTTCGAGGCCACCTTCAAGGGTTTGGACAACAGCCGCGAGAAGGGGACAGCCCAATCGGACAGCGAGTCCGAGGAGTACGAGGACCTGGCCCACAAGCCCATTGGGCCCGTCGATCCGTCCAAGTGCACCGCCGCGGGCACTGGGATTGCCGGCGGGACGGCCTGCGCCCCGTCGTCCTTCGTGGTGGTGGCCAAGGACGCCGACGAGAGGAAGGTTTCCGGCGGGGGCGCTCAAATCAAGGTGAAGGTGACGCCGGGGTTGGGCAATGGAGGGTCTGACCAGGAAGGGATGGTTAAGGATATGGGGGATGGGACGTACACTGTGACTTACGTGGTGCCTAAGAGAGGGAATTATATGGTTAGCGTTGAGTGTAATGGGAGGCCTATCATGGGGAGCCCCTTTCCTGTGTTTTTCAGTGCAGCAGGTATTACTTCATCAGAAAACCCTATGCTTTAGTTTTTACTTTTTTGAGTATGATATATGTGTTGCTTAGATGTTGTTCTTTTGAGCGTTCTCGATTTGTTGGTTAGTTATATGTATACGTTGGTTTGTAAGGGTAATCCTCAATTTAGAAACCGGTTTTGAGTTATGCTCAAACTCGCTTTCTTAAGAGTTTGATATATAATTGTGGGTAGTGACAATACAAACAACAAAAGGCCTTATCACACTAGATGGGGTAGGCCACATGGATCACACGATGTTGATCCATTTGGATCGGTTAAACACGTGTTGTGTGCATAGAAACAGAGTTCACACATTTCATCAGGGAACTGCAAGCCAATTCGCTAGTATCAGTTTGCAGTATGTTTGTGCACCGGGTTGCTGAAATTGGACAGTGAGTTTTGAACCTGTGTTTCTCAGGAGATGGTTTTGCACTTGTTGTTCGAAACTCAGAAATTGGTGAACCTATCAGCATTCACAAACGTGAGAAAGAGAGGGAACCGAAAAAAACTCAGAACCCCAAAACCTTTCAACAGTAGTGAGAGAGAGAGTGGGAGATAAAAAAATACAGTAGAGTCCCCAATCTCAAGGCACAACTTTAAGCTTTTATTAAAATTATGAGTTAATTATTCATTTATCTTGCCTTGGAAGTTAGCAAATTATTCATTTATAAAACGTGTTAAACACTTCTCTCCATTATTGATAGGTCAATATAAATTGAAGAAATATATACTTTTTTTTTGTGTTCACCATTTTTCTCATTAAAACTTAAATGAGCAATTGAAATCTAAGGGGTCTAGCTTGGTTGGTTGAGCAAAGTGTGTGAGCTGTTGTAAACACTCTTGATACAGTGTTTGTTACCAATATTGTTAAGCTTGTCATTTTCAATTCTGTTTTCACTAAAACATGGTGATGCTGCATATTGTCCTCTCAGAATATTTTCTCTTGGCTCCTAGCTACTAAACTAGTCTAAATTCTCCAACACAATTCTAAATTTTAAGCATTAGATCATGTGATCCAACTGTCAAAAAGGGAAATATGCCTTTTAACTAATCGTGGGTCCTCCAATTACTCATAGAAAGCATTTGATTGGTAGGTGAAATTGAAAAAAAAAATTTAAGGATAGGTAAAAAAAGAAAGCAATTAAAAAAGTTAAAGAAAAGTAGTAAACTCGGAAAGAAAAATGAATGGAAAGATAATTGATTTGAAAGAGATAATATGTTTAATTGATTAGCCTTGACCAGGACGTTCTTTGAGGTTGCAACAACAGCTACATCAGCAGCTTGGTTACTTGTGGCATAATACAGTGTTTGTTTCCAATAGATAAAGGAAAAAATCAATTAAAATTTTAAATTTAAGAATAAAAAAGCTACTTATGAAAATAAAGTAACTTATATTATTAAAAGCATTTTTCTTTTTAAGCGTATACCAATACTTTATAAGGTCCCATACTCATACTATGTGCCTAAGAATTGCAAACCGGGTAACTATGGTTGTAAGTGATCCATGTTCAGTTTGTTGACTAGTTTGTTGGTTGTTGAAGGCCTAACCCAACCCTCTTCTTTTACCTCGGCTTGGCATTGACTATGTCTAGGTGGCGTTATGGTTTGTGACAAAAAGGGAAATAAAAAAGGGGAATATTGAGGTTGAGTGGGAAATTCCCTCGATTTGTTGCTAAGCTTCTGTTCTTCATTGTTGAAATTGTGTTATGCTGTGTGCAATATTGCATTTCTTTTACGTTGACAAAAATTGAAGATAACCTTGTTGCTGTGTGTATGTCTTTTGGTTTGTAATGATTTTCATGGTGGGCAATTTTCAATTCTTTGTTTTGTTGTGGCAGGTAATAGCAGTGGGGGGCTGCTGGGTTTAGCTCCTGCATCTACATTTCCAAATCTTGTTAATCAAACTATGCCCAACATGCCGAATTACTCTGGGTCAGTTTCAGGGGCATTCCCTGGATTGTTGGGGATGATTCCAGGGGTTGTTGCTGGAGCTTCTGGGGGTGCTATTTTGCCTGGAATTGGGGCCTCACTTGGGGAAGTTTGTCGTGATTACCTTAATGGGCGATGTGCCAAAGTTGATTGTAAGTTGAATCACCCACCTCATAATTTGTTAATGACTGCCTTGGCTGCGACAACCTCCATGGGAACACTTAGCCAAGCTCCTATGGCACCTTCTGCTGCTGCAATGGCTGCAGCTCAGGCAATAGTTGCTGCCCAAGCTCTTCAAGCCCATGCAGCTCAGGTTCAAGCTCAGTCTGCGAAAGATTCTTCTGGTATGCTGTGGATTAGTTTTGTTTTGTATTGGTGGTATATTCTTCATTTCACAGTTCTAATATGATGAAATCTTTCTCTCCTTCATTTTGCACTATGTTTGGTTGTGTTTTACTGTTTCCTACTTTTTTCTAATAAATGTATTTGCTACTATATTCAGGTTCACCTGAAAAGGCTAGTAAGGATGATGCATTGAAGAAAACCCTTCAAGTTAGCAATCTTAGCCCTCTTCTCACTGTGGAACAGCTAAAACAACTCTTTGGCTTCTGTGGCACTGTTGTTGAATGTACAATCACTGATTCAAAGCATTTTGCTTATATAGAATACTCAAAGCCTGAAGAGGCAACTGCTGCTCTGGCATTAAACAACATAGATGTTGGGGGGCGCCCTTTGAATGTTGAAATGGCAAAATCACTTCCGCAGAAACCATCTGCTGTGAATTCTTCACTTGCTTCATCATCGCTTCCTTTAATGATGCAGCAAGCTGTTGCAATGCAACAGATGCAATTCCAGCAAGCACTGCTAATGCAACAAACTATGACTGCACAGCAAGCTGCTAACCGAGCTGCAACCATGAAATCAGCCACAGAGTTAGCAGCAGCCCGAGCTGCAGAAATAAGTAAGAAATTGAATCCTGATGGACTTGTAAGTGAAGAGAAAGAGACAAAGCAGAAATCAAGGTTTGATTACTTTATAAAATTTGTTAATTGTTGAGGATACTATGTGTTTCTTGTCTTATTTTATTTAAAAAAATTTAGGATTCATGAACTTACACAATGTTAGTTGAATTCATGGTGCGAAAATAGAGAAAACTGATAGATAAATGTTTTTATATTTCGTATCAAGTTCAGAATAATGGAAGAAACAGAATTTATGTTGTTACATTACAGTTACAATTAATTGCAACTTGCAACTGATATGACACTTAACCAATTGTCCTAACTGAAACCAGCCAACTGGCTTCTGCAGCTACCAGATTGCAGCCATCTTAACAATCTAAGATAAAATTACAAAGTTCTCTAATCTAAAATTTTATTTTCTTTGGCAGATCGCCCTCTCCTCCTCCCCCTCGTGGAAGATCTCGATCGAAGTCAAGATCTCCTATCAATTATCGGAGAAGGAGGAGGTCTCGCTCTTATTCACCTGCTCGACATTCAAAGGATCATCGCTCTAGGTCACCACTGAGGTCACATCATTACCTGAGCTATGAAAGGGAAAGGCGGTCCTTTAGAGATATTAGGGAACATAGTGATAGATACAGAAGACGGGATTCAGAAAGGTCACGTGATCACCGTTCATCTGTTTCAAGAAGGAACAGAAGTAGGAGTGCAAGTCCTAATGCGAAGAAATCATCTGTCTCTCCAAAACGTCATAGAGAAACTTCACCTCAGAGAGGAAGGAAACAGTCACGTGCTGATTCTGGCTCTCCAAGTCATCACAGGGGAAGTAGGTATTCTCCAAAGATTGATGAAAAAAAACTAAGAAACAGGAGACGCTCCAGGTCAAGATCTTCGGACGATAGACTTCACTCTAGCAAAAATGAAGAAACCTTGCATGGGAAGTCTAAACACAGAGAGAGAAGGCGTTCCAGGTCAGTATCTGTGGATGAGAAACCACACAGAAGGAACCGATCATCCCCAAGAAAAGTGGATGAAAGTAGATCCAGGCACAAAAGGTGGTCAAGGTCAAAATCTGTGGAAGATAAGCGTGATTCACTGGAGAGATTGGATGAAAACAGAAATAGAAGATTGAGGCATAGTGATAAAAGGCACTCCAGATCAAGATCTACAGAAAATAGGGATCAAATTGATGTCAGAGAGGATGAAAACAAAAATGAAAAGTCAAAACATCGTGATGCAAAAAGAAGCAGGTCAAAATCTGCTGAAGGGAAGCACCATTCGAAAGATAAATTGGGTGAAAACAGAGATAAGAAATCAAAGCATCGTGATAGAAGGCGTTCAAGGTCAATATCATTAGAAGGTAAGCATGACAAAGGAGGCACTTCACCCCATATGAATTTGGATGAGAGAAGTTTTGAACTGAGACAATCTTGGAGGTCAAAGTCCCCTGAGGGCAAGCATCACTCCAGTGATAAATATGGAAGTAGAGGTGAAAAATCGGAGCATAAAAGGAAAACCCCATCTAAATCAAAATCAGATCAATTTGATGGGAGTGGGCCCTTCCAAGGAAATTTCAAGGAGTATGATTCAAAAGGAAAATCACAGTCTGATTCTGGATCTGCGGAACTTAAGCATCATTTGAGTGATGGAGAAAATGGTACAAGTGAAGAAGAACCAAAACTCCATGGAGATGCCTTGCAAGAAGCAATTATAAATGTGAAGGACTCAACGATCCTGAATGATAATGGGATGCTGATTTCAGTGAATGGTAGCTTCAAGTCAGAAGGGTCAAATGAAAATACTGGAGTTGATGATAACCCAGGTATGGGAAGTCCTATTGTCAAACATTGTTGTTAATTATGTTAAGCTAGGTGTTACAAATCTGAGAATAATCCTTTTTGATGCAGGATGGATATGCGTGGAAGAAGTGGGAAATGGAAAATATTAAGCAAACTTGGCTTGGTAATGACTAATGACCTTAAATATATTAAAAAGTGATTATGGACTTGTATTGTATGATTATTAATTCTTGATTACTTTCTGTGCTTACAGGAGTGATGGTTCTAAATGATATCAAAGATTCTACCTGGCTTTTTGATAATGCTAACAATATAGCTGAGTATTAATTTCTATTATTTGATCTTGAATCAGAAGAACTTAGAAGGCAAGGATAATTGAAGTTTCCTACTTATAAATGCTGATCGGAGAAGTGGTGTCACCCAAAGCTTCTATCACTTGTGGTTGAAGATTTCTGCACCTGTCATGATTATGGGATAAGAGCATATTCTAATTAAGGATTCTCATTTAGGTTTCTTGAACAAGTTCTTTTGAAGGAATATACTGTTTCTTAGGAGGGCTGCAATTCTAAGAGGACTATGCCTCCACTATTTGATTGGTCTCCAGAATATTCTCTGTTGCCTTATGAACATCTTCTATTGTGTATTTCCTTTTGCAGGTTGGGTTGGAAAAGATCAGGTGTAGAATCCAACAGCTGTTGGTGTGGTTAAGGTTTCAAGAAGTGTCCTGCTTTTGTCATGATCAACTGTGCAGCGCTTATATCATGCTTCTTTTACTGCTTGATTGATGTATGTTGGAATGTTATTTTAAGTATACTATTCTTTTTTATTAAAGGTAATTTTTGCTATGTTTGGGTTTTTATATTTATTTTTAAAATTTGATGGTATCTGAGATTCTGAATTCTAAATATTTTTGGTTTATAATTCTTCAAAACTAATGATAGTTCAGAGGGAGAAACCCTTTTAACCATTAGTGTCGGTTTGTATGCATCTAAAACTAGTTGGGCTAAGGATAGCAATAATATGTTAAACTGAACGTTTGGTAATTTTTTTTTATATAGTTTTTCTCCTCATAGATCTGTTCTGTTACATCCAGATTCTCTAGTTGATGTGGCCAATTTTGTAGTATGATCTTGTGTTTAGTTGCAAGCTTGATGTGGCCAACCATAGGCTCTGTTTTCTTTACTCATGTTTTGTGGTATGGTGGGCATGTTATATCCAAAACCAATGCAGGTTATTCTCATTGAAATCTGTTGGAGCTTTGAGATACAGTTATGCTGGGTCGATTTTCTCTTGTATAAATGAAGGTATGCAGTCAGATTCTGATGCTCTATGGTTTAGAGCATATTTGTTTATCTTCCAGTAAGTGTTGAGAGCAATGTGGGAGGCTGCGTAGCTTTGTATTATGTACAAGTGCATTTGCTCTAAGTACTGTTTTCCAATATTTTTTACCATCATCCTGGTGTCTTATATTGTCCTACATTTTTTTTTTCCATTTTTCCTTTTATTTTTCTTTCCTTTTTTTTTTTCCCTTTCTTTTTCCCCCCAAGAAATTGTCATGGTTAGGTAAAGCTTCTATGTAAAGGTCAACTGAACCTGGATGTTGCTGCAATGAGTTTCATCATGTTGCGTTTGCGTTTGCGTTTGAGCAATTGGCTGAGTTACAGTTTTTACTTAAGTAAATGCTGATATACAAATGATTTCAACAGGTAATTCTCCGTGAAACTATTGGATGGTTCTTCTATTTGTGTAGGATCTTCAATTTAATTTTGTCTGTCTTGTCCATGCTTTACTTAGTTATTTATGTTGTCCTGTTCACATTGATTTTTTGCATTTCATTCTTTACAATTATTTGCAGTGTCGTCTTAATGATTGTCTTGAGTTTTTATTGTGTTGTTTGATATGGTGTCAACTAAAATTGTGGTTTGGAACAATGAGTTTCTTACTGAGAGGTGGTACTAAAGAAATTCTGGGTTTTTCCTTACTTTTGAGGGCATATGGGATTTTTGTTATGTTTTGGAGGATCACAACTAAAAGTTTACCCCCTTGTTTTGCGCCCTTTTTTCCCTCCCTACCCTACACCTCTTTTCTCTTTTCCCCTTCCCCCAACCCTTCTGTTTTTTTTTTTTTCCTTTCTTTCTTTCCTGGTTTAGGTTAAGCATTGGATATGATGCATCTTATGAGCAGCTGCAAATTCTCTTCACCAGATGATTGTGTGTAAAGTTTATTCTTGGAAGTTCGTTGGTTTTTTAGTTTCCTTTTTCTCGTCTCTGCATCAACTGTTATAGTCACCGATGGCAACTTTTCAATTTTATGTCTTCTGCAGTTGGCGCATAGGCTATACAGAGAGTGTTTCTTCTTAGTTCTGCATGGTTTAGGACTCAGAATTAGGTAGTAGTACTATTCTAGGTTATTGTCGAGCTCTGAACATTTTGATGCGTGCCCTCAATATAACAATTAACTAGTGGCTAATTGACGGAAATATAGTGCGTTCAATCAAGCTAGGGAATATTTAATAGTATTTTTTTTCCTCGGAAATAATCAACCTATTCACTTGTAGCTAATCATGAAAAGCAAAATCACTTGGTTCGATGTATTTCTTGCTTCTTGAAGCACAAAACCGAGTTTTAAAATTCGTCAGATATTTATATTGAATTTGAAGTGAAAAGTTTATAAATGGCATCTGCAAAGTGCATGGTATTTAAACTTTTTTTATGCGTAGTGTGGTGGTGGTGGATCCTTAGGATACTTGCGTACATTTTCACCGAGAAGCTAATTTCATCCTCAGGTTTAGCTAGCTCTTTCTCACGTTTGAGGCTGGGCAAAGCTCAAATTTTATCTTGGTCATGATTTTATACTGAGTAATAAAATTATTAAGAGTTTAATGGTTATATACTGTCAGTAAAAAAGTTTATTGTATGGTTATTATTTTCAAGATGTTTATCGTAAAAGTTAACATACTCGTAATTTATGGTAAATTTTGATTGAATGACTAAAATATTGCTATATATGTTAGTGGATCATTATTAAACTTTTGTTACTAATATAAAATTTATTGGGGGAGTAAACAAACTTGTATCCTGTTCAAACTCAGCTTACTATGGGGTTAGATGGCCATAAACATACAATTTAAATGAACATCTAATTCTTGTTATTTAGCCCCGTTTATTCGTAAAGCTTATTGGCCCAATAATCTTTCGAATCAAGGCTTTACTAGTTTTTTCTCTCCTTTTCTTGAGCAGCAGCCTTCGAAGTTATTGTAACCAACTTAGGCTTATCTGTATACGTGACAACATATGAATTCGACAAAAAAAGTTCCCCTTAAAGATTACATAAGTTATTTAACACTAACATCAAGTTCATAGAAGATATGGATCACAAGCAAACAATCACAAACTGTATATTCTTAAAAAGTTATCGGTGTTGAATCGGTAACTTACAAATGTCTGATCAAAGGGTAAACCAAAAGATAGAGATATAGCAGAAACATGCTTTGTATGTAATGTATTTTTTATAAAAAGATAATTGTTTCGATTGCAATATCAAGGTTTTTTTTTTTTTTTTTAAAGACTTTGAAGTGTCAAACCCTATTATAATATATCCATTGAAGTTCCACATATTTGGGGGCACCTTATAAAGAAGAAAAATAGTTAAAAACAATCTCATCTTAACGATATATATTCTAATTTATAAATTGGAATAGCATATATTAGATAATAACTAATAATAAAAAAGAAATTGATAATATATATGTTCATATTGATAAGAGATGAAAAAATATTTAGGAAAAAGAAGATAGCAAAGGATAGAAGAAGAAAAACAAAAAGAGAGAAAAAAGAGTGAGAAAGGGGAAAAGGAGGAGAGAAAGGAGAAAGAGAGGAGATCAAGATAGAAGAGAGATAGAATGCAGAGGGACAAAGAGAGGGAAGAAGGAAGAAAGAAGACAATGATTGAAGAAAAAAAGAGGCGGGGAAAGGAAAGATAATATATATATATATAT